ACATGCTTTTGAAATTTATTTTTGCTTAAACTTCATTAGGCTCTTAAGGATAACAAAACTTTTTTAATTAAAATTAAAGAAAAAATTTAGGATCGTATAGAAAGATAAATACTCCTAAGAATTAAGCTCAGAGACAATGGGGGTTTTTTATGCATACTTACTTACCTTCTCTCCTTACTAGGCATCTTCCTACTTATGGGCTGTGGTAGACTTCCTGACCTATTAGGGTGCAGTTCTGTCTTGGCAATATTGTACATATCTAAGGAAAAACCTATTTTCTAATGCATTAGAAATAAATAAAAGTTATATAAAATTTAATTGCATTGAGCATAATCACACTATACATAAGTTAAAAGGCCACTTATAAAATTCTTAAGATGTCAGACCCAATTTTTCAAAAACTTAAATAACAAACCTTACTTATCTTTCATAAGATTAGAGTCTTAGTTTTAAAGCGTCTAGATGATTTAGCTAGCTTTCCAATCTAAACCAATGTAAGCCTAGAATTGCATTTCATTAATTAGGTTCAAGTAATAACTATGTAATGACAAAACATAAATCTAAGTTATGTGGCAATCTAAAAATTTTAAGTCCTCAATATCAAGAATTTAATACAAAATTTCTAAAACAAATTAACTTAAAGTAAATTTTCTATCCTCCAAAATTCAATGCCTAATATAGGAAAGGCTAGGGCACTTCTAAAAAATTTTGAAAATCCTAAAAAGGTCCCTACCTTTCATCCTTTAGCTTCCAAAATAAGTGCTCAAATTCGATCCAATCCCAATTAAAATTCTAATACCCCTCCTTTCATATCACTCCTTGAAAAATCTAAAATAAATTTTATATCATTATTCTAATTGAGAGTATTCATTGGAGGCCTAAATGTTATAACATTTATAATGTTATGTTCAAATTGAAAACTAAAAAACTAAAAGTTTATATTCAAATTTTCTCAAAATTATAATTACAATTAATTTGCTCATTCCTAACAAAAAGTAATAATAATTATAAATAGATCGCATTGTAAAGTGTCAATGAGTTATAAAGGTTTAAAACTACTTGCTTATGTATACATATAAGGGTCTAAAAGATAATTCTCTCTCCTTTGGAGGATATATTCTTTTAGAATTATATACTACACTCAGAGGCAAAAGATGATAAGTAAATACTTATAAATTAAGATCTTATAGGCATAGAAAACCAGATTTTTTTGTAGTGGGGCTTGGCCACCTTACTTTCTTATAGACTGTGGGTTGTATATAAATCTTTTATAAATAAAATGAAAAAAAAATTATATTGTGTACTTTTGCACACTGCTTTTTATATTGCTTCATATTACATGCATTGCATTCATATGTGGTAGATAGCATTAGAGGGTAGCCTTTTCATATATTTCTTTCGGTGTACATGTTCTGAACTTTATAGGAACATGTATCTAATTCTAGGATAATATGTTGTACCATATACATGAAAACCCTTACCCATGCATGCATACATACATGTATTTTATCTTCTACAACATGCACGAGCCCATCCCAAAAGTCAATAGTAAGGAATGAGGAGCCTAAGAGTTAGGGATAACATACTTTTCCTATGGGTTAGGGCCACTATGCTGCCATATTTTCTTAGAAAATTCAAACTTAAAAAATTTAGTGTTATCTAAAAATGAAACTTAGAGTTTAGGGCATCTTTGGATCAAAATTGCATGAGGTTGGTGCATTTGATCTGACTCATATTATTAAACTCTAATTGTAAATCCTAACCATAATTCTTAATTTTGACATTAAAAATAGCCTTCTTATCTACATGCGTCAGACCTAGAATTTATGGTTTTAAAAATGTATATCTTGGTGGTTAGGTGGCAACACACTCTAAGTGAGCATAAGCCCACATACATTTGCACCCGTTAAAGTTCTTTTCGGGTGCATTATTCCATCTTTCAAATAAATTTTATAGATTTAAAGAATTTGTTTAAAAAATGATTGAATGAAACATCTAAATCTTTTAATCAAATCTAATAAATTTTTTTATCTAAAATAAGTCTAGTCTCCACTTTAATCAAATATTTTTCTCTAGAGATATAATTACTTGTAGAGGCTTGCCTCTATGGGAACCTAAAAACCTTGATTAAAATAAACTTTATTTTAGTTCACTAAGATAGAGAAAAATCTTTTGACAATAATTAAAGCTAATCCTTGTTTAGTTTTAATCTCAAAATGATAGGTGAATATTTTTTTTTTATCCTTTAGGATGAATTGAATATTCCCTATGTTGATTTTGATTATGAAATAAATTTTGTTTCTCTTTTTAAGTCAATTGTGAAATATAAGTCTGCCTTTCGAGGTAGTATAATGTTGACTATATGGATTTAATTAAAGAAACATAAAGCGAATCAGTGGCACATTTATTTATCAACAAGTGTATATAATTTTTAGTTACTTATATTGGATTGAGTTATGTTGATGAATTCATAAAAGCTCTGGTTGATTAATGAGATCAAAATAGGCAATTCTTTTAAAATTTGATATTAGGGTGTTATTATTAAAAGAATTGAATTATAATTAGAGCTATAGGAAATGATTAAGATGGGTAGTAATGGATAGTGTTAAGGTTAATTTCATCACATTCATTCTATGCATATGTATGATTGAATTATAATTTATAGAAAAGAGAATTATAGTGAGTGTAATTGATCCACCTAGAGTTCCAAACAAATAGAGTGAAGTAGGCCCAGTGTGTTCTGACAACGTATGCAGTTTTGTCAACCTGATAGCACATCAAATAAGTGATGCATAGAGCAGGAAAGCTAGGAGTAAGGAGACTGAAGAAGATAACATTTGTAGAATTTTCATAAGTTGAATCCCTCATTATTCAAGGAAAAGGTAAATCCATAAGCAACAAAAGATTAACTACTGAGGATAAAGAAATATTTAATAATATGTATTGTCCAGATAATAGGAAAGTACCACTACTAGTATTTCTATTTGAAGGAGAAGCTGAGAGATAGTGGATACGATAGTAGTGGGAGAAATTTTAGGAAAAGATGAAAGCATATATTACATGAGCAGAGTTTATTGCTATCTTCAAAACTTATTTGAACCTTTCTTAACCCGATAATAGATGTAGGAGGCTTTTATGAGATTAGAGTAAGAGAATAGAATGGTGATGCAATACAAAGCTGAGTTTACTTCATTCGCCAGGTATGCACCTCGACTAGCTAGTACTGCAGAGAAAAACTGCTATAAATTTCTGAGAGAATTGATGGATATGCTGAGGCGTCTATTAGTTCCACTGAAAATTTAAGAATTTTTAGGGTTAATGGAATGAGTAAAATTGGTGGAGAATGATTTGGCTATTTCCCAGTTCAGACATATCGAGTTGGGTTGTGACATGCACTCATCTCGAGTCAATAGTAAAATCTTGGAATAAACTTGATTTACTTTCTCTTTATCATTTGGTTGAAATGTTGATTACTTTCCTTCTTAATTGTCATATCCTTTTAGAAGTTTCTCTCCAAAATAAAAAGTGACTTGAAGAACTAAATGTATGTATTTGACCATCTAAGTAATTTGCATTTACCAAACAGGTTCTTCTCCAAGGAAGCTCAGTCAAGAGGCATGCTTGTCTAGAACAAGCCTCTCCTTGAGCAGCATACACAGGAGCAATGTGAGGGACTAGTAAATATATTCTCTATAAATGTTTGCATTAACGCAGCTAGTCCTCATTAAGCTTAATCAAGAATGTGCATGTACTAAAAAAGTTAACAAAAGAACTCACCTTAAAAAGTTTTCACCGAAAGAGGCACTCAACTCATGACTTTTTTCTTTTAGCAATGATTGCTAACTAAGGACATATATTCCCCACAGATAAGCCCATCTAAGGTACAATAGGCACAAACTTATGAAGTCTACTATCATAACTTCACCAACTATATTTGTCCCTTTATCATAGTTACATCCACTCAGAAAACTTGTCACTTGCCATGAGGGGTTCACCATTAATTTAGGACAATCACCTTTATGGATCCACCAAAGATGATCATCCTAATGTATTGTTTAACTATTTTTGCAAGGTGTAGCATTTCTTGTAGCCTCGTTATTCCTACAAATAAGGAGTTAAGAGACATATTTGGATCAACATATCATTTTTACAATGCACATAGATTTTTTGGCTTTTCATTAATTTACTTTCTATACTCACTAATTTCTTCCTCCTATTCCCTTGCTCTACCTAGCCAAACATGTCAATAAGGGCAAGAATAAATTTTGATCCAACAACCTGCACATACACAGGTTCAAAAAAATGATATGGTAATAGTTTTAAAAATAGGCAAATTTTTAGAGCTATGTAAATAATTAAAAAAAATCTGCATCCTCAATTTCACAAACTGAAGAAATAATTGGACCTATATTGGTACTTGAAATTAGATGTAAATTATCAATAAGTATAGATCAATAAGAGGTTAAAGCTGAGTGAAACTAAAAATACTTGAGCTGTAAATATATATGTTTTAATTGTCTCTCTATTTCTTTTCTTTTTTTAATGCAAAACTTATTTGCTTGTGAAGATAACTTGAACTCTTAGCAACTTCTTAAAAAATATTTGCAACATAAAAGAAACTCGTAACTTTATAGTAACTTATTAAAAATAATTTTTAACTAATCTTACCCTTGAAACTATAAATGCTCAAATTAGGTCATTTAACTTCTAACTTGGCCGTGCTCTCCTGATAAACTTTACAAACAAAGTAAACCGAAGGAAACAGACATTCCCATACAACAGAAAGTTATTATTTCATTAATATTTGAATATAGAATTCCATTGCGTATGCTTTGAAGAAAATATAATGCTTTCATGAGATTATTGTAATAGATATATTAAGATGCAGCTCACTGTAGGAGCTTAGACTTTCAATCTGCATCTTTTCTTCAAGCCTTGGCCACAGAGGAGGTTGCTTCAAGGTCCAATCAAGGCATTGAAGCTTACAGAATCAACATAACAGTTTTACTGGAGAGAATTTGAGGGAGAAGAAATTGTCATGGGTGGATATCTTTGAGGAGATATCTATTAAGGTTTATAATTCTGCACTTATTAGTGCATTCATGACAGAACTAGAGCCTGATTCTCCAGTTGTCCGGTGTGATCTTGATCGTCTAAAACTATCAACTGCACCTTTTATGGAAAGAAACTTGGAGTTTTTAATTGAATGCAAGGATGATCTTTCTTCTGAACAAAATAAGTTCCAATATTATTATCGGAACCGCTCTAGGCAACAGGCACAGTATCAATGGGGCTGCTGGACAGAGCTTCAGCAAATTATATATGAAGTGCTGTCAAAAATGGAGTTCAATGAACCAATGAATTGTAAGGTTGAACAAATTATATATGAAGATTCATAAGACAAACATTATTCAGGCTCATTATTCAAAAACCTGCTTCTCTCATGCAAATACTTCATATCAAACTTTAAACCGGAAAAAAAGGAAGAGAAAGATCATAGAATTCTGCTTTCCTTCTCATCAGTTCTTAGAGGAACAACAACGGCCCCACTATTTTCCTTGTTTTTATTCGCAGATTCATCGTTTCTATGAGAGCTCCTGTCAATAAATGGTTGATGACTTTCCAATGAAATTGTCTCCATTGATCGTGGGAGACGTAGAATTATGTCATCCCTGTCTGGAACTTCATTTGGTTGAGGTGCTACGGATTCAATAGGTTCTGCAACAAGTTGAATGGTTGATTTACCCCAATTTTTTCTCTTTTTTGGTTTTGATGCTTTTGGGTCAACCTATGAATCACAATAAGTAGAAGAATAGTATAATGAGTAATTCTTTTCAAAAATATAAAATTTAAAGATTAAACTTAGCAAAAAAATTAAAAATTAAAATGAGTTTAACTAACGAATATTTCATGCTTGCAATGATGCATATAACTAAAAAGAATATAGAGAGAAATTCATAAAAACATGCAATTTACTATAGTAATATAATTATAAATCATAAAGTAATATTACTGAGTATTTTAGCGATAGTTTTCAGATGAAGTATATATAATAGTTTTGCCCTATTATTGAAGGAACAATATAACTACACTTAAAGGTATAGACATACCTGTGCATTCCCAATGTCAGATAGGGGCTTACGTTGTTGCAGGCTACAGCAATCTATCTTAGGTTTCTCACCCAAAGCACTTTGAAGGAGCAATGTTCCTTGAGAAACTAACTCCATGGTCTTCTCATCATCTAAACTAGAGAAAGAATCTTCCCTATTAGCACATTTCGAAGCATTGCAACCACACTGACTACTGCATGGTTTACTGATGTGTCGGCATTCACACTTCTTTGTTTTACAAGTTGAGTTTTTTGAGCATGAACAGCAAAAACGGCCATCATTTTCAGAAACTTTGTTTTCATCTTCAACATTATACTTCTTTCCCCTAGATCTTCTCTTTATTGTAACCTTTCCAGATTCCACCCAATCTTCATCAGACTCATCACTTTCCATGTCAAGCATGTCCTCTGAGTCTGAAGTATCCATATCAGCATCCTCCTCGCCACAACTCTCTCTTCCATTATTCAAAACTATGAATTTTTGTGGAATCTATGCAAAATAGAAAACATTATATTAGAATAAGTTACTTGCTCAGAAATATGTTGACAAAGAAAAGATACAAAATAAAATAAAAATCACTTAAAAAATCCATTAGTTAGTTAAACAGAAGAACTAAACAAGCACACATAACCATGAAAACAAAAGTAGCATAACACCTTCCTCAAAACAAAGCCTTTTTCACAACTTGAGGAAGTCATGCTAGAATGCCTCACCTGTTCTTTTAAATTTCCATAGAAATAGATTAATTTATGCTTCATTTGGTTCAACAGTTTACTTTGTCCTGGTATAATAAGCTGCAACAAAACAAGCAGGTGATACTTGGATGAAAATGTTGAAGAAGTCTTTTCCAGATTTTCTCACAATTTATCTCAAAATGTGTTTTTTAGATGGTAGAACAAAAAATATAGTCCACAAAATAGCTTTCGTAAAATTTTAATAAAAAAAAAAATTAAATCATTAGTATCAAATGAAGCTTTAATCATAATTAAAATATTATTTAACATTAAAAAATGATAATAAAATCCAATTTTACATTTCACAAGCTAGAAAAAATTTGTACAATAACATAAAAGGGGATCGACATGCAATAAGAGAAATTATCTAAATAATAGTGTTAAGAGAGTGCATAAAGAATTTACAACAACTCTTGTATCATTCATCCTTAGATCGGAAGTACAAAAAATGCACAAATTTAGTTGCTCTTTGGATATCAGACAAATTAACCAACTTCTAGACCAGCTATCTTGTTGGCTAAAGAAAATTAAAAAAAAAAAAAAAGGCTATAATCATTCTTAATAAATCTAGTACCTGTAAACTATATATAAATATAGAAACCAAACAAAGAACTGACATAACACATTGACATTTAGAGGACACTTTAATGTAAATCTAACCGTATTTTGACAAACAGCCAACAAAACCCTCAAACACATTGTAAATCATCTAATATTATGGATGGATATAAAATTCATAAGTGAAACAAAATGAAAAAAATAAAGTTATTCCACTATGCAAGAAATAATGAATTTCACAAAATAGGTGAACCTTTATATCAGTCTCATTTTGTGTAGCTTTTTCGGCTTCAAGCTGTCTAACTAGGCTGTTAAGTCTGTATATGTTCTCTTTGAATTCACTGATTAGAAAATCTTTCTCCCTGCAGATAACTTCCTTCTTCCACAATTGGCACCTAAAGTCAATAGAAGGGTTGAAATTATGGTAATCAAATGAATGAGAATTTATTTAAAATAAACGATTACATGCATGTCATCTTCTTGATAGATAGTTTAAATAATGTATGACATTAGCTTGAAAACACATTTATTCAGTTAATATAACATGTTTAATATATAGTTTTAAGCTAGAAGTAGATAAAAAAGATGCATTTTATTGATAAAAAGACAAACTAGAAGAATACATTAAGCAAAGTTATTATTTGAAAGAATAAGAATATATAATTAAACAAAAAAACTAGTTGTATTAAAGCTTATATCCGGTAACCTTTAGCAATACTTTTGTGTAATCATTTTGTACCTTGATAATGATGCTAAATTGAATAGATGATTCAACATAGTTTTAGCCTCAGCAACTGAGCGAATTTGATTCCATCTTCCTCGACCACTAAACACCCGATCATGTTCCTCTGCTTCCGATAACTCTGATGCCATTAAAACAAGGGTACTAGATGAAGTAGCTAGCATGTTTTCAAGTGTTGCAATTCTTGAATTTCTAGCACTTGGAGACATTGTTTGGGGGCAATCGCTGAAGGAGCAACAATATCATATATCAACTTCAACTAAGCATAAATATGTGATTCATATTCTTTTTTTTAATTACACAACAAGTTACCTTAAAATTTTCTGTCTAGCAATTTCAGATTCCTCTTTGAGCCTAGCAAGCTCCTTTCCCATTGTAGCCCTTCTATTGACCAGCAAAATAAAAATAAATTGTCAATTTAGTTCAAAAAAATCTAGAAAGAACAAATTTAAAACCAAAACACTAAATACTGTAGAATATATCAATAAAATTTTTAATTTCACATTGCACCACCAACAGATTAACAATAACCTATTATGCACAAACAAATTACCAAATGATTCATATTTAAGAAATTGGTTGTAGATCAAGCTACTGAAGTGTAACCAAAAGCATAAGGCTTTGATCAACTAAACATTATTTCTACCTATCAAGCTTTTTAAGACTTCATAATGAACAAATAGCCTAGATTTCAAGAGATTCAAGTTTTGAAGCATTGCATGATGATGATTGTAGTTCATGATAGAACCTAACTTCAAATAATGGATTCACATGCAAAATTATGAGGATGGCTTGACCATATAGTTTAAATTATTTTGTAAAACGAATTTGAGACTCATTGAGAGTATGATCTTTCTAAAACTCCTTATGTTTTGATGGTTAAAATAGGACTTTTTTACTAACTATGAGCTAAATTTTCATGTTTTGAGCTAGAACAATACCGTTAAAAAAATATTTGCTTAATTAAACATAAATAAAGAGCATAATTCAACTAAGCTAAGAAAACATTCGATAATTACACGTGACGAAAAATTTACATAAAATGTTTTATGTTGATGATAATTATAAGAATCTATAGTATTTATTGGTATTAGCTGATGGGATATTGCTTCTACTGGAGTGATTCAAAAAAGAATACTAATTATTATAGTTAGATTAGTAGAGCTACCAATATTACCTATTACTATAAAACAATACTTTCATAATAATGTATTAGTAGAGCTTGTAATAAAAAAAACATTGTTATCCACTTTTAAGTAATAAGCATTTATAACATTTTACAAAAATATTTTCTTTTAATGTTATACATATTCAAATAACTTGAAATTTTAAATACAATTACTTGATACTTATAAAAGTGTTTTAAAACATATACATTAATTTAAAAATAAATATATCTAGTATAATATTTTAAAATAATTTCCCATTAAAATAAAAAAGTTATTGAAATCAAAACATAAAGCACTATTTGAAATTATTGGAATCACTTGAACTAAATATTTTATGTTAAAACAAAACTGAAACTAAAAATAAGATTTCTAATCTTGATTAAAAGTATCTTTAGCCAAAAAATATATATTTTGCAAGCTTTATTTAGTAAGCAAACAACTAATCTTTAGCTCCATCAAAAACATAAAGATAGATGGCACAAAAATCAAATGTGTCGACCAAACGTAGCTAAAACAAGCAATAAAACTACTAGCAAAAGGTTATAACTGAAAACCTCACATAATAGCCTAACACCAGTTGTAGAAGCTCAATAACAAAAAAAATAAAACAAAACATTAAAAAATATTGTATGGGTTATCAATATAAATCACTTTTAAAGCCAAATGGCCCCTAAACATACTATTAAATTTGATAAATAAAAAGGGCAGCACAATTGCAATCCCTTGTCAAGATGATCATAAAACCCCAACATTCAATGTGTGATGAGTGTAAAAGCATCATTAAATCAAATCAACTGCACATAAAATATGTAAAATCAAAAGAAATAAATTAAAATTTTAAGACCAAAACCTATTATTAAGTCAACTAATCATAACATATCGTATATTTTTTTATTAAAATATGCAGCAACGATTAAACTCATCATTTGGATTTTTATCTTGAACTAATAATTGAACCTCAAACAAAATTATGATTCGCTAAATAATCCTAATGATTATCTGAAACAGAGAAACATATTAATCAAGCATCCACTTTCAAATTAAAAATACATTAATCATCCATGCAAATTAATTAATAAATCGAAAAAAAAAATTCTTACTCTTTCATTTGACGCTCATATTCTAAACGAACCTCATACACCTTAACAGTAACTTCTAGCTCATCTTCAATAGCCTGCATTAAAGCCTATTTAACAATATAAAACATCAATATGTGTCAAGTTTTTCCCAAAGCAATGGAATTTAAGAAATTGATAAAGAAATAACATTATATACCTGAATTCCAGAAGAATTAATATGTCCAATACCTGCATCAAACATTGTTTTAGTGCTAAAGAAATTTACTACTTTATGCTATCAATCTTATTAAAAAAAAAGCTAAAAACAAGGTATATGAACTATGATAAAAGTAATAAATTAGAATAACATATATTCATTAACTATAGTAACAACCTGAAGACTCTCTAGAGGAAGCTTTCTTAGCTTCAAGTAACTCTTTTAATCTTTTTGTGGCCATAGAAGCTTCTTCAGTCTTTCGTTGCAAAACCTAGTGATGACGGATGGAAAAAGCATAATTGCATGATGCTAGAAATGGAAAAAGATGCTCAAACACAAATTATTACCATTTTTTGCCTTTGATTCAAAGCCAAAAGCTTGTGCATTTCATACTCATTCCTCCGTCCCTCCTTCTTAAGCTAATTAACAACAAATATAATTTCATTAAAAGAAATAACAAAAAAAGGCAAGCTTCTTTATGATAGAAAAAAAAAAGGCTGCTTAAGCCATTTATGGCTTGGCCTTATCATTCTTTTAATATTCACAACAAATAGAAGAACTGTGCTCATATATTTGATGAGAAAATAAAAGAGAAAGAGAGATAAAATAGTACTATGAAGATAAAAATAAGTATCATATTTACATGTGGATTTATTCTCTGAACCGATAGACATTTATCTCTCATTGTGGCCTTAAATAAAGGTGAATTTCACTGAATAATATAACCCATCTTGTGTTCTTTTTCTGGTGTTCATCCTGCAAATTATTATTTTCATTCTCCTGATCATTATTGCTCTCGAGAGTGCACTTGTCCTCAAATGTTCCAAAGATTACTAAACTTGCAACAACTTCAACGATCATATATATATATATATATATAAACAATCAAATACACAAGAAAAGCGGGAAGGAGGACTTGGTGGAAGTAGGATAATGCATTTTATTTTGGGAAGCTAGCAATGAAACAATTTATGCACATTTTGCTAGTCATAAAATAAAAGTTCTCTCTAATATAAAAATTACCTGCAGAACTTCTTTCTCCCGACTAGCCTTCCATGATCTAAATTGCTCAGATTCTTGCTTTATCTTCTGTTGTAATTGAACCTAAAAGATAACAACTTCTCAATTATTGAGTAGTAAATTATGAAAATTTTCATAATAACAAATATATCCAAAGAAGAAACAAACTTTTTGAGACTTTATCTTTTGAATTTCTTCTTGAAGTCGTTTTGCAGACTCGTCACTCTTTTGTTTTTGTCTTAAGAGTTGAGATTGTGCCTCTTGCTTCTTTTTTAGTTCAGTCACCTAAATAAAAATAAAAGGCTCACAAAGCATGAAGAGATCATGCTTAAAAGAAACACATTTTAACTCAACCTGTGATTCGAGCATAGTCAATTTATGAAGATATTCTTCTTTCAACTTTTGCGCAGTATCACCCGAAGTGGATGATATATTTGCAAGGTTAAAGCGAAGTTCCTCTATCTCATTCTGCAAGGGTAAAAAAATACAATTAAGATGCATGCATGTTTCAACATCAAAAAGTCAGTAGATTAAATTACCTGTAAATCCCTTTTTTCATGTTCTAGTTCCATTAACTTCTTCTCATAATGTTGCCTGAGTACGGAAGTATCCACCTTGGCAAACCTTTTCATTTCAGCCTAGTTAAAGAAGAGAAAACCTTATGTATAATATAAAAAAATAAACAATGCTTACTATGTGCTATAGGCAATTAAACTAATTGATATTATAACTTTGCATCCCAAAAATGTACAAATGTTATGAACCATTAGCAAAAAAATATGGAAATCTCAAAGGATTAGGATCAAAATTTAACAAGAAGTAATCTTTTTGGAAGGGATAAGAAGCATGTTACAAGAAAAATGTTTAAAGCTTTTATACATGGGAAGATAGATTATTCTTCTATATTTACAAGTAATGAAATTAACATGCACAAACAGAAATTATAGACTGCTCGTTAATCTTATCAAATCCTAGGTGAACTAATGAATTATTGCATAAAAAACTTATCAATTGAAAGATGGTTACTCATATATAAGCTTAAGAAACAATGTTCAAGTACCTCCTTTAGTTCGAGTCTTTTATCCAATTCGTGGAGCTCTTTGTCTAATCTATCCTGTAGGGAGGAATGCTCCCTTTCTTTTTCATCATATTCAGCCTCGCCTAGAGAATTAGTCCACATAAATACATGTCAATAAAAACAATTTAATGGCATATAAAATTCAAAAATCAAAGTAAAAAACAGATCTCTGATTCATCACTGTTAATCATTCCTAAACATTAATAAGTTGGTGCGCTCAAAAAATTGAAGAAATGTGATGAATCTAACTGTTAAACATCAAGACAAGAAATAGAAGTACATAGAAATTTCATTCAATACATGGTGGAAAATCAGCAAAATGCTCGAGATATATGAGAAAGGAGAAGAATTAGTTTGAGTTTCCAAATTTTCAAACACAGTTTTCAATAGACTACACGATGGCCCTTAATGATTGGTTTTAATCGCAGTCACTATCATTCATTGTGCTAGATGCACTAGAATTATAGATTATAAAGTGGAACAAAATAAAGGCAAAAATCAGTACATTGCATTTGTTTCTAAGAAAGGCATGATAGCAAATAATTTATACATATTTGAGACAACGTATAGCATCTAATGAGGTAAAGAGATAAATTAGACAGTTTAGCAACAACTATAATGGTAAATTATTATTTACAAAAGAAACAACCATCAACACCACTATTTAATTTAGTCCAATTTCAATCTATCCCATATATGGCCTTTAGGTAAAAAATTCTAACCATTCAACATGCTATTTTTTATAATGGATAAAACATATCCCAATTATTTTGTTAATTTAAAGTAGGGTACAAAGCTAATTGTAGACGACGCTCAACACAAGAAACTACTGAATATGAAGTTCTTTAATGAAGGCCGTAGGAAAGACGGGAACATATAATCTCTACATTGGGAATTAAGAAGCACAATGCTTGAGATCGTGTTATTTGGTGCATTCATCATGTTAGATGCAATTGTTTTCATATGCTATAAAGTATGACAAAATAAAAGATATTCATAAATGCATTCTACTTCCATCAAAGTACACAAACATAAGCATTGAAGCAATTATCCAAAATGTAAGAAAACATTTGACATCAAAAAAGGTGAAGGGCTAAGGTTAGATGCTTTTGTAACTTACTAGATTCTATGGTCCTCCCATCAGGGATACATTCTAACCCATGCAGATTTGGAAAAAATTGTTCTTTTTCTAAACCAAGGCAATCCATGAAACCACTTTGACTAGGATTACATGAATTTTGAGCTCGCACCAGCTCTGTCTCAAGCTCTTGAATCCTTGATGCATAACCGATCAACAAGTCCAAATTCTAGAAGAGTTTTTAGAAACAAGTCATCAGTAAAAAAAAATAACCTTATGTTGCATCAAGAATATTTATAGAGACAATCCTAAGTAGCTTTATACCTGCGTATTTTCTACACAGTCAATCTCATCCCACGATTTTCCATTACGTGCTGATTCAATCTTCAAAATTAGCTTATCTTTTTCAACCTAGTGCATTAACAATGATCTAGTCATACACTAAGAAATTAAATTTCACAAATACCTTAATTCATATATTATTAAAAGAAGAGACACAATATGAAAGAATAGAAGCCATCATAAGCACTTATTTTCAGCATTTCGTATGAAATAGAATATGTAAACATTCATATAAGAAGTTTCACGTTATTGAACTTCCTACATCACTAGCCATTATTATAAAAAATAATATTACTTGGCTGCTAAGCTTCTTTGAGAAACAGAAAACATGCTAGAGTTATTTATGGAAAAAAATTAATCATCTAAAATAGTTAAAGAAAGTATAAGTTGCAAGATATTTTAGCCAACACAAAAAATTTTACATCCAAGGATTTTACATAATATTTGATGTAAGTTCAACTCAAGTCCCAACAACAAGAATTTTATGATCAGGCAAGCACCTGAGCATCTAAAGCGGATTTTGATAAATGATCACAAGTAATTTGACGTTCTTTTAACTCCTGATGGAGCTCGGCATTACTTGCTTCAAGCAAAGTAATTCTCTTACGAAGAACCTGAAAATAACGAATTACATTATCATTTAACTTTGAGCTAAAAACAAAGAAAGTCAACTTTAATAGATTTGCACCTGAAGTTCCTCAAAAGGAGCACTGTTGCCACGATAAAATAGAACTTCTGACTGTAGCTGCTCTAATTGACTGCGCAATTTTTGCATTTCAATTGATGCAGGATCACGATTTATCTGGATTTAAATCAAGCAATCAAATAACTTGCATAAATGAATAGGTAATAAACCTGGCCTAGAAAGTAAAATTCATGTTATTAAATAACATACCACTGCCTTGTTTTGTATATTTTTTGCACGATTGGCATATTTTAAAGTATTTATTGTCTCTTCAGCATTTGCGTCAGCAGGGCTAATGCAAGCTATCATTAAAGCACATAAAATCATAGATTTTCTCTTCCATGGATTGATAGAGAGTATGCCACTATACTATGGACTAATAAGCTAAAAAAAATCACAACTCACCAATCATAACAGTTTTGCTATTTCCACCAAGAGAATCCTGCGGTCAAAATAATTATAAGTAAAAAACTATTAGCATTGTCAATAGATGCACTAAATGAATGCACACTACCGGATATGAAGGAAAAAAGTTCTGTTTAAAGAGAAGTGTAATAGAGTATCAAGTATTATATGCTATTGCACATAAAATTCACTTAAAAATGTAATGACAGCAAGCTAAAATCATTATTGTAGAAGCAAGTCAAGATTCTTAAACCATTTATTTGGCATGCTATACTTGTAAAATTAAAAGCAGAGCAAGTACCCATCTAGGTTGAAAACAATAACAATTTATATTATAAGACTTAACTTAAACTTTTAGTCTACAATCTAATATGCACAATAAAAAAACTACTTAAGAATATTGGAATTTTTAAAAAAAAGAAGCCAAATAATCACAAATAAGATGTCATTTCTCATATAAAGCTATTATAAAAGCCCCTACATATGACGGCCAACATCAATTACAAATATCTCAAACCCAATTTAATTTTTTTAAGTTTCAATATATATTTTAGATATAATCATGTTCAAATTTTCAATTCATCAAAATTTAGAGAAAAAACTATTGAAGCTTGAGCATCTCTTTGAGTTCTCCTAAAAGTCAGATCAAACGTGAATAAAATTTTAAACAATATTCTAATTTAACCTTTCTATTAACCATGTTTCAAATACTCCCTTCCCTTTCCCAGTAAAACAAGCCAAACAACATAACTTTTTATGCAGCTTTCTCTATACTTTGAGGAATAATAGCGCATATGTCAAGCCAACTAAAATAAAATAGATAAAATATATAAATAGAAGCTCTCAACTGATCAAATGCCTCATCAAACTATTTTAGAACATGGGTATGATAATTGAAGAATATACACTACCTGTAACAAACGTGTTAACTTGCTATCTCGATAAGGGATATGGCCCCCATCTTTTCTCTTTTTCTCATCACCAAGGGCATTTATCACATTACCAAGAGCTAACAAGCCCTTATTTATATGTATACCTGCTTAGATTTATGGTCTTTAAAAATAAATTGTGAAAATCAAATAATGGAGCTAACAATAAGAAAATTCATAGATACCTTCTTTCAAACGCATCCCATCGGCTCCAGTACGTTTTGCACGTTCTGATCCAGCAAGGTCAACCAAATGAAGCTTTGCATGTAAGATATCATCACCAAAATCATTACTAACAAATCCATCTCTACTGCAATCAGCATATCTTTTTTGCTCCAAGCAAATTGTAAAAATGGCATGTGAACGACTAGAGAAAAGGAAAAAAATCATTATAAAATATGCTTGTAATCAGATTTCAAATGAGAGGTGTAAGCAAAACAAATTAGTCATTTTTTTTTATAAAATTTAGCTAATTTAATCACAAACTCATGCACACAAGCATTGCCAAAAAAATTCGGGCATCATACTTGTATGATTATACATAATTATTATGTTTCTTCATTAGGTAACTGCTATGAAAGCACTTGCTAGGTTATGGATGTATTTGAGTTTGCTTCTATATTTTCACCTAGATACACAAATCAAAAAATATCCAAGACAATAATGCTATATTATGGAAAGATAAATAGCTGATAACTCCATTCATTCAGTATGAAGCATGAAGAGGTAAAAAAGGTGTAGTAATAAAATACTTTGACCATAAATATATGACTGCAATTGTAACAATTTGTGATAGGAACTAACATAAAATTATATACCACGACGCAATTTTGTTATTGTACTTGCATTGTTGGCAACAAATTGGGTAATACAAAGATTCAATCATGCCGATGACTAAAAAAGCATCAATGTTATCAAACATCATCAATAATTATTGTAATAAGAAGAAAAAAAGGAAAGAAAGTGCATCTTTAGATATGACAATTGGTTAGCCAAAAATATAACCCTTCCCAACTTAGCACAAAGATAGTATGCATTAATCTAAGTAGAATTAACCTTCCAAAGAGAAGCACTTGCCAAACTCAAAGTCCATCACATTTTAAAAGTAATGAATAAAAATAAATATTTGATATCTAAAACACCTTACATTTCAAGAGTTCATCTACCCATAGCTGCATAGCATAATCAAAATTCATCATTGTTTTGCACTTTTTTCTTTAACTTCGCAAACAAAGAGGAAAAGTTTTATTTTTAAGATATTTCAGCCAAAAAAAAGCAGCTGTCACAATGTATAGGGAATCATTAAACAATGATTTTTTTAAATGGCATAGATTGAATGCACTTATTAAAAATGAAATGTAAATTAATTCAATTGAACAACTTAATATATGTTTAAAAGCTCATCGAGCAGTATGCAATATGACAATCATATGAAGGCATGAAAAATTAAATTCATCCAATGGGATGGAAAGAAATTATCATAGAGTGATTGCACAAAAAATATAATTGTAAAAAGTCATATTCTGCATTGTTATCGTGCATTTTCAATATACCAACCTTGACTGACTATTCATATTAGTACTTCCTGTGGCACGAGATTGAGATCCACGCATAAGATATAACTTCATCTCCTCTTTCGATGTAACTTCTGCTTCAGTAACTCCAGCAAGGGTTATGCCCCCATTGACAGTTTCTCTAATCTGAATTGGGGGTCTAGATGGTTTGGCAAGTGAAGAATTGTTGTCATTTCTCAAAGTAGCATTGGCATGTGTATCTAACAAGTCAAAAACTTCTTCCTTGAAAATCTGGTAGAAAATACATGATAGAAATATTTCTCAAATGTATGAGAAGCTACAGAAAAGTAAGAAAATTGAGGAAAATAATGACTATATTAAGAAAAAAGATGACCTCAATAAAGGAAACTCTAATCAAAAACTCAGTGTCTTTCTTCATTTCACCGGCTTTCTTAAAAATACTATTCATTACCAGTGGTATAATCCCGCCACTATTACTCTCACCATTGAAGTTGGTTCCCATTGTATATGTTTTTCCAGAACCAGTCTAAAATAATAGAGAGGTAACGCCAAATTAGAAAAGAAAAATAGTAATAAAAAGTTGTAGAGTGAGCGTGTCTGAATTCACTAATCTTATAATAAGAATGTTGTACCTGTCCATAAGCTAGAACAGTTGCATTGTAGCCATGGAAAATTGCATCAATCAATGGCGCCACACATTCTTCAAATATGTGAATTGAAGGAATAGCAGAACTTCCATAAACATGATCAAAAGTAAAACAATGAGCTCCAATTTGAACCTGTTTTTTTTTTCAGTTAGCATACATTATTACCAAATGTGAAGAAGAATCCTCGCTTGTTTATGAGAATCACCTTACCATAAAATAAAAAATAAAAAACACGGAGAAATTAAACAGCAAACCAGCTTCAAGAATCAAATGTAAATGGAACATGAGAATCTCCTACCTGAGGCTCGCCAGGGACAACTGTGATGCAATCTCTGCATCCCAGCAAGAGCTCCGATGCGATCAATGGTCGGATGTTAACTGCAACCTGCACGCATTCCTTCTGCGACGAGGATTTGGCCTCGCCCCACTCATCCATCTCAATCCCTGTCAGAAAATTCAAACGCGGAATCTGTATGAAATGAAACAGGACCTAATATTTCCCCGATCCTGATCGATCCTAAAAAAGAAATAAAAATCGTAAAAAAAACAAAAAAAAATCAATAGATTAAGCAGAATGTTTCAGAACAAAGATACAACCAGGTTCTGATTTGTCCAATAACTGCAAAAGAGAAGGCCATACCTACGACGATTCCAGCGATCGGAGAGGATCGGAGTGGATATGAGAGGATAGTTTCCCTTCTCTGATGAGGATTTTTTTTCTTTACTTCTTTCTCTCTTCCTTTTCCTCCCCGTTTTCTCCTCTATTCCTCTTCTCTTTCTCCACAGTTCGGACGAGCAAGAAGGAGCCGATGAGAGAGGTCTTCGCTGCAAGCTAATTCAAAAACGAAGAATGTCACGTGAGTCGTGCAGGATCTGGGCGGCAATCACGTGAGCGAGGGCACGAATTGAACTGTTGTGACATCAGACGGAGATCGGGTGGCCCTTCGGCTTTTTAATAATGATTCCACAACTCTCAATTCAAATTTCAAATATGTATAGGTGGGTAATTTTTTTATTAACAGTTGAAATTAAGTTAATATGAAATTAACATTTAATTATTTTGATTTAAAAAATATCAAAAAAAGCATAATATAACCTTAATTTATATTGTTTATTTCATTAAATTTTTAATTGTTTTATCCAGAGGTGTCAAAATGGGTATTAGGGTTAGATCTAGAATTAACTCGGACCCAATTCAAGTGGCCCGGACCTGACCAAATTTTATAACAGATCCAGGAGCTGAACTCGAACTTGACCCAAGCAGAACCTGACCCGTGTCGACACGACCAAGTTGTCTGCTTAACAATGTCATGTTTCAATGCACTTCCATATTCTTCTATTTTATCAATCAGAACTTTTTTTTTTTTTTTTTGGCTTGATAAGCAACAAAATAAGATAACAAATGTGAATGTAAGAAGTAGAATGTATTATAATGAAGTATGCAGTGCTCAAATAATCAAATATAAATAAGCTCAATGAAATGTGTTAATATTAATAGATCAAGTGAACACCATGAAGAATTAATTTATAGTTCATATGCGTTTTAGACACAAATAGGATTGCAAGATTTTATTCATGGAATAAAGCCTAACAATTTTGAATATCTCAAATGAGTTTAGTTGGGGTAGATTAAGCTAAGTATTATCCAACTACGATCCCTCAAATCATCATCATTTGCCGACTATGATCCCTCCAACCACCATCATTCATTGTCTAAGGTCCCTCCAACCTCTGTTGCCCCTCGACTACGATCCCTCCGACCTTCATCACCTGCTGAATATAGTTCTTCGGACCTTCGTTGACCACTGAGTACGATCACTATGAACACCATTGTCCACCGACTATGGTCTCTCCACCTCCATCATATGCGCGACTACGATACATTTAACCTCAGTTGCCCACGGACTACGGTTCCTTCTACCTCAGTTTCTTGTCGACTATAATTCCTCTGATCACTGTCGCCTGCTGACTACAGTCACTTCGACCTCCATCGCCTGCTGACTATTGTCCCTCTGATCGTCGACTATGGTCCCTCCGATCTCTATCGCCTATCAGATATTTTCCCTCCAACCTCCATGGCATGTCAACTACGATCCCTCCGCACTCCATCACCCACCGACTACGGTCCCTCCAACATTTGTTGCCTGCCGGCTACCATCCCTCTGACATTTGTTGCTCTTCGACTGCCATCTCTCTGACCTTCATAGCCTTCCAACTATGATCCTACCGATGAAATGAATATGCTATGTTTGAATGGTGTTACAACTCTTTAAATTATAGTGAAGCTATTAATATGCCTTGAAAAGATGAGAGAAGATTGACTATACAGGATTTGCATGATGGAGGGTCAACATCCAAGAACATCCAAGCCACTACACATTAAAAAATGAAATAATTAAAACAATTTATTACATAATTCATGCAATGTTGTGAAATTTTACTTGTGATCTTGTCAAGGCCTATACACAACTTGATGTTGTTCTACATTAGGAGTTACGATTGTTGGCTAGTAAATAAAATTAAAATCTAGGTGAGGAATAAACATAGAAATAGACCAATTGGAACTAAATTGATTATGAAAAAAAATATTTTGGGCATGTTAACTTTCCATAAATTATGAAAAAATTATTTTGGCCTTGCCAAATTAATGGATCTTTAAGGTTTACTTGTTTGAACTTCGTATTAATAATAATTATATGTGGATATCAACACGATAATAGAAGGAATAAGTAATGATATGCTTTTTTTAACCAAAATAATATTCATTCAAAACCAAAAGGGGGAATACAAAAAACTTAAATAAGGGACGAAAATACAAAAACTACAGAAAAACCCGAAAACTAGGGTGCTTACACCCCAATAGGCTCAATATATGGCAGAGCCTTCCAACTGCTCCAAAGTCAGGCGTGGGCCATCCAGTTTGGAGTGAGAGTAGAATCGCATCAAGGACCAAACGAGCAAAAGTCACACCACCAAAGGTTGCACCAAGCCAAGGCTTTAGAAAAGTGATCCCTAGCCCCATCATTGCCATAAACCACCAATCACATCCTCAAAATATAACCAAGCTACAACCAATCTTCAGCAAAACAGTAACCATCACAAATAAAAGATAGTTCAAATCAACTACCATAAAAAAACAACAACCCAAAGGAGAGAACCAATGTAAATCATCTCCTACCCCTACCACGTCTACCCCTCCCACGAGATGGAAACGATTTAACAGGACGGTCAGTCTGCATAGTAAATTCATCCACAGATCCTTCATCTCCACTAGTCTCCGAAACGAAATCAAACGAACAATGAATCCAATCAATTTCCAATCTCACACTCTCCCTCAAATTGGCACCCACTTTAGAAATCAATGTGTCCGGTGAGATTAAATTGACAGGGACATCCACAAAAGGTCCAGGCGCAATATCAATAGGCGTCAAAATAGGAGAAATGGAAGCCCCATAATACAAGAACTCCACACTAGAGATGAAGCAGCCTCAGCCAAAATACATGGAGCAGATACAGTACCCACAAAAAGACAAAGGAGTAGTACAGCTAGTACCACCCACTTCACTAGCACATTTACGGGAAGACAAGCCAACTCCAAAATCTAGCACATGAGACATAACCGCAAGAGAACCAACACCCACAACCTCATCAGACTTCAACAATTCCCAATAATGAGCAGGGGAAAGAATAGAAATAGGGCCTCCCACAACACCGACACAAGAATTGGGGATATCAAAAACACCAGCGTCCAAATCGACCAAAACAGGGGAGATAGGGGAAAAGCCAACAACCCTACTTAACGAGTGTTCCACAGGCACAGAGCTAATAAATTCATCCCGAATAGGCACAGGCGGACCAGAAGCACAGAAAACACTGGCAATATTAACATTATTCTCAACTAATCCATTATTATCATTAATCAACACCGCATGAGCCTCAAGGTGCAAGGAAGCAGGTAAATCACAAACCATAGTAACAGGAGCCACCTCAGCGATAGGAGGAATACCCACACGATTAGACAAAGGATGACGAATTGGGCATTCAAGCTTATAGTCCCAGAGATTTACAGTGAGAACAATACACTACAGGAAAAACGTCATTTAGTATCATAACAATCGATTGTATATAGCCTAAACTCTCGGAGCCAATCCAAATCTTATCAGCATACACCTCGGTAACATCAGGTTTCACCAGTACTCGAGCAATCGACGGCCGCCTTCCAAAGGAAGTGGCCTGATCAATTTTAAGAGGTTTACCAAACATGGAATCGAGCCCCTGTAAAATTCTCGGGGCAAAGAGGTGAGGCCTGAGACTAGGAAAAGAAACCCAAATTGGGATATAACGAGATTCAACATCAATATCAAAGGTGAAATTGTTGTACAGAAAGCTGTTTTCAGAAAGCTATTTTCTGAAGTTGTTGTATAGAAATCCTTATATGTTGTTTGGATAGTATAACTGTGGAGCTGCTGTGCTGCAACTGTGTAGTAATAAATTACATTTATACCCTAATATATTTTGAGATGAAAGATTTTTTTTTTTTAAATGTATATGATAACCAAATAGCAGTTCTAAATCAAAATTATATCCCTTAATTTGGTACAACTTTTTATATATATTAAAGCTGCTTTCAAAAAAATATTTTTTTAATACTGTTGTAAAATATAATTTTTTAATAAAAAAAATTGTAAGTCGTAAAAAAAAACAATGACAAAATAAAAATTATAATTACGATTTTAAAAGCTAAGTAATAAAAAAATTATTCCATGCCTTAATTTTAATGCTTTTGATAAAATTTGAATATAATAAGTTACATTTTTTTTATTTCACTTCTATGAAGTTGATAAAAACACCTAAGAAGGCTTGAAAAATATTTTTTACACGAAGTAATAATGTGCTTACTGCTAACCAAAAATTAAGAAAAGTTGGAATAAAATATAACTTTTATTAACAATTATAATAAAATGATATCAAATTCAGAAGTCTCCATAATTTAAATAGATAGTAAAACTAAATTGTTAGGCAATACGTTCATACAAGACATTAATATCATTGAAATTTACTGCAATGAAATTCATTTCAAAACTAAATTCTAATAACATACATCAAAATAAATGAACTCTTAAAACAACATAAATGTTCAATACCATTGATATGACATAATTTCCCAATATCTCACAGTCAACTAAAGACTTTCCCAAAAAACAAAACAATAGAACATAGACGGTTATAACACTAATAAAACTTGGTTGTTTTCCATCGCTGAAAGTATCCACATTTCTAATTTCAAGGTTGAAGTGATAAACGTACATAGGTGATACAAAACATATGATGCCCAATGAAATTGAACAAAATTTGGTAGAAAAATCAAGGCAAACTTCAATTTACATTACTCTCCTTCCCTTCTAAGCTTTTGGCTCACACCAGGCTAAAGGCAGATTGTAATTTTGATGAGGATCGTGATGCAATTGTATGTTAAGCAAATTGTTGGATTTGTTTCTTGGCATCATCAAAATGTGGTTTGAAACTATAAAGCAAACCATTAAAATATTGCCCAAAGGACTACTTGATTGCGACAATTAGTATGATATATCACGAATTCAAATCCTTTATAATTAATATGATAATTGGAGAGGTCAAATAACAAAATCCCAGCATTCAATACAATTTGACAAAACATTGATCATCCCCAAAAAATCCTCAACAAATCTACTCCAAAATATTGATCATCCCCAAAAAAAAAATAACTCATATTAAGTTTGAATGTTTGTCAATAATACAAGAACCTTGCGATTTGTTTCAACTCCAACAGGGGAAAACATGCTTATAACATAAATTATCTTTCAAGCATAGCAAGGAGAATGTAGATAGATGCCCAGTAGATGCTAGCTACAGAATTATAAAAAAAAAAAATCTAAGCAACAATCCTCTCCAAAATTTAAGTTCCTAACATACTGACTAGTGGGTGTAGATCTTGCCAATTTCATCACGGAACGTCAACAATACATAGATCTAATTCAGTCAAATCAGGCAAACTACTAGATCCACCTAATTTACATTGTCATGACAACTTGCTTTAGATGAAAATACATACGATCCCAGTTTTGTGGTTATGTTCAATTGTATCACAAATTACAGAATTTAAATTTATGAGACTATTATACTTAACCTTTTTTTTCCTAAAAAAAGAATAATTTCTTTTAGAGTGTTGGCAATGTTACATAAAAATCAAGTTTAGCTTACAAAAACCTATAGGCTGTAAAAATTGGCTTTAAGTTTAAGCTAAGTAAAGGTTTCAGCTCATACATGAATGATAGCAGGAAATAAATGTGATGACTGGCTTGGTCCACTCCTTAATTGCCAGACAGACAATAAAGGGCAAAAATCTTTCATTTAGGAGTAGAGAAAGGCAATCATTGTATATTCCATTCTACAGAACCAAGAGAAGGATATCAAAGATAAAGTAGAAAGTAAAATTAAATTACCTTCATCTCCCTTGCTCTCTCCAAATATGTGTATGAATGACATATCTCCTCAACTAATTCAAAAAAGGAGACTGAAAATAAAACAATCTTGTCCAATTTAAACCTAGCATAAACAGTACAAGAAATATTAATTTCCCCCCTAGAGCTTCCGTGCCAGCACCCCCGTCCCAGGTGGCCCCAATAGAAGAAGATGCCGCAACTTGTTCTTGTTTGTCCATCGATGAACCGAATGCCAAAGTTAGGTCGGAAGACATTCGAAGAAAATAACAGAGAGAAAAGATAAGAAAACCGAAATAGGGAAAGAGATTAGTTGATAGACTTGTTATCTAATTTATTACGCCAACTTTTGCGCCGTCGTCGGCCACCACTGCCCGCGCTACAGAAACTGTTGTGGCATGGTGAGGAGATGACATCGCCGACGATGAGGGAGATCAGAAATGATAAAGCATTGTCGCACAAGTGGGCATTTACCACATTTCTGCCCGGAACCGCGGAAAGCAGCGGACCGACCGCGGGAGCCAGTCAAAGGTCTCGGGCAACAGTGATGGGCCGCAGAAATTTACATAAATCGATTCTACCGCAATGTCACAAACAATTATTTCACAGCTTTTTATATAGTAAAGCAGCAGTGAAGCCGTCCGACCCGAAGCCATAGCAGGATTCTTAATTATGGCATGAAGTGCGGCGTGGGTAAAGTTGTTGCGGGTTCTTCCTCCACATCAAACAGGGCTCTTCACGTCTTCTTCCTCTCGATCGAACGCAGTTTCTTCCTCCATGGCTAGCTACGTGTACGGCACCATCGTGCTAGGTAACGGAGAACCTCACACTATTTCTTCCTTTGGAACGCCTATTGCTGCACTGATCTGTGATTTCTCCCTTCCGAGTTCGAAACGATATGCGCCTCTTCTTCCGGATAAGCAGCAATAGGGAAATCATCGACTACATGCAGCTTTTCTTTTCTTCTCTTGTCTTCTCTTGCCGATTGTGAAGGTCTTTTACGATTTATTATTTGATATATCAATTTTGATAAACAGCTTCACCTGCATTGAACGTTAGCACTAGAATATGAAAGAAAGCACAAAAACAGAGTATAGCTTGGAAGAGCTCATAAGCTCTGTCTTCATTTCATCGTCGTCTCCACAGCTACAGTGCTGCACATATATAACTCAGTTAGTTACAAGGCAATGGCTATGATTCTCACACAGAGATCAAGAGGCTGATCTAATAGAGGTACACTGCCATGGCAGTGTTAGTGGTTTAGGCACTATATAGGGAAGCCGACTTATCTATAAGCATTTCAGCTTATCAAGTCTCCTTATCAGCCCCCCCTCAAGGTAATGATTGGGGATTGAATCGTTAACTTGTCACGAAGTAGCTCAAACCGTGTAGCAGAGAGTGGTTTGGTAAAAATATCAGCAGGCTGATCAACTGTGGGAATATGATGAACAGAGATGGAGTGCGACCGGATGCAATCACGTATAAAGTGAAAATCTATTTCTATGTGCTTGGTTCGATCATGAAAAATGGGGTTGTTGGCTAAAGCCAAAGCGGAGACGTTGTCACAATACAGCTTGGTCGGATTGAGAAGAGGAACCTGAAATTCAAGCAATAACCGGCGAAGCCAAATGACATCACAGGCAGCAGTAGAGATGGCTCGATACTCGGCTTCAGTTGAGGATCGAGCAACTGAGGTTTGCTTTTTAACAGTCCACGAGACAAGCTTGCTGCCGAGAAAGGCACAGTAGCCAGTAACGGAACGGCGATCAGATTTATCCGATGCCCAATCGGAATCAGCATAAGCCGTGAGCTGTAGAGCATCCTGAATGATAGGTAAACCAAGGTGAAGAGTACCTTGAATGTAGCGAAGAACTCGATTGAGTAACTGAAAATGAACCATGAATGGCTGATGCATGTGTGTACAGAGGAAGTTCACCGCAAACAATAAATCCGGTCGGGTTAAGGTCAAATACTGCAGCGAACCAACAATTTGACGGTAAAAGTCCGGACGAGAGTAAGACTCATCACCGGGCTCAGCTGTTGGTAGGATTGTGGGGAGGGGAGTTAGAACATGTTTGCAATCAGACATAGCAGCTTTTGAAAGAATTTCCTTGGCGTAATGAGTTTGGTTGAGGTGAATGCCATATGAAGTGTGAGTTGCCTGTAAGCCGAGAAATTGATTGAGTGTGCCCAAATTTCGCATGTGAAACTTGGAATGCAGGTTCTGAAGCAGCCGTTGAAGCTCAGTAGAGTTGTTTCCCGTCAATAATATGTCATCAACATACACAAGCAAGTACATTTGAATTGAATTACGGTTGTATATCAACAATGAAGGGTCGGCTGTGCTTGTGGAAAAGCCATAAGACAGAAGATAGGTTGACAGCATCTCAAACCACTGTCTAGGAGATTGCTTAAGACCATAGATGACTTTCTGTAGGGAACATACATGGTGTGGATATTGAGGATCCACAACTCCAGTAGGTTGCTTCATATACACTTGTTCATATAATTTTCCGTGCAAAAAGACATTAGACACATCAAGTTGTAATAGAGTCCATTTGTTAGAAACAGCCACAATAAGGAAGAGCCGAATTGTGGCAAATTTTGCCACGGGGCTGAACGTCTCATGGTAATCTAAACCGTGCTCTTGCTTGAATCCCTGAGCAACAAGGCGCGCCTTGTACCTTGCAACCGAGCCGTCAGCATTGTATTTGGTTTTGTATTACCACTTACAGCCTAATAGATTTTGCCCAGGCTCATGAGGAACCAAAAGCCAGGTGCCTTGATTATGTAGTGCTTCAAATTCACTGCTCATTGCTTGTCGCCAGGCTAAATACTTAGCAGCTTGTGTAAAACTCGTGGGGTTGGAAGGAATGACCTGATGATCAAGATCGAACACCAGTTTGGGTTTAAGCTTGCCCGTTTTCGCCTTGGTAAGCATTAGATGGGTAGAAGAAAGGTCGTGCGTGGGACCAGGAGGGGAGTAGCTGAAGGTTAAGTTCGAAGGTTCAATGACAGGAGCAGTATTTGAGGGTGGTATAGGTACGGGAGGCTGAGTGGTTGGGGGTGTTGAAGTTAAGCTAGGCAGCGGCTGCTGCAGAGAAAAGGCAGGAATTAGAGTGGCTGGAGTTGGGTTTGCAGTAGTGACAGGTTTCGGACTGGAAGGTAGGACGGGCATGTAAGGAAACACAAATTCGTGAAATGTAACATGCCGAGAAACGTACATTTTCGATGTTCTGAAATCAAAGCAACGGTAGCCTTTTGAGTTAGGAACATAACCAAGAAAAATAAAAGGCTGAGATCGAGGAGAGAATTTGTGAGATAGTTGAGTGGCAAGCCATGGGTAAACCAGGCAACCAAATGTACGCAAGTGAGCATAGGAAGGGGCTTTGTTATACAGGTATTCGTAAGGAGATTTATGTTGATTAGGTGAGGAAGGTAATCGATTAATCAGATAAACAGCCGTAAGTAGAGCATCGGTCCAAAATTTGCCTGGTAAGTGAGCATCAAACAGCAGTGCCCTCATGGTTTCAACAATGTGGCGATGCTTTCGTTCAGCACGCCATTTTGCTGAGGCGTGTAAGGGCAGGACGTTTGATGAACAATGCCAAAATTATGTAAATGAGTTTGAAAAATTAAATTCATATATTCTCCGCCTCGATCAGAACGAAGAGTTTTAATTTTAGTTTGGAATTGAAGTTCTACCATTTGTTTAAAGCGGAGAAACGTAGAACAAACTTCAGATTTAGTATGAAGAGGGAAAACCCAAGAATAGCGGCTAAAGTCATCAACAAATAACACATAATAACGATATGATTGCATTGAAACGATTGGGGAAGGTCCCCATACATCACTATGAATAAGTTCTAAACACTTAGTAGATCTAGTAGAAGACAACGAAAACGATAGACGACTAGTTTTGGCCTGAGCACAGGCAGTACAATGAAACGAGCTGTTGGCAGTAGGGCTTGAAGGGAAAATTGCGGAGAGGAATCGTTGAGTTGTTGGTGATGGATGGCCTAGCCTTTGATGCCAAACCGCGATACTAGGAGGAGCAGCTGTATTACAAAGACAATATGTTGGAGAGGACGCAGATGCTTGAGGATTAATTGGGTAGAGTCCATGAAGATTGGGACCGTGGAGAAGAGTTCTGTTGCTCTTGGAATCCTTAATAAGAAAACCATTAGAATTGAGTAAGACATAACACGGATTATCGGCGGTGAGTTTGTGAACAGAGATAAGATTATGAGACAGCTGAGGTACATGAAGGATTTTAGACAATCGAAGCTTACGCAGGTGTGGGGAGCAAACCTTGACCGGTGTGAGCGATTTGTAGGTGCTGTCCATTTCCAACTTGAACGTTGGAGTTGCCGGTATATGGTTGCATATTCTGAAGCTGAGATGGATTCGAAGTGAGATGTTCAGTAGCACCTGAATCTAAGAACCATTCGGCTGGCTGTGAGTTATCAGTGGTAATATAAGCTTGAGGCGTGGAGTTGTAGTTGGTATCATGACGATACCAACAATTAACGGCAGAGTGCCCTGGCTTTCCACAGATTTGGCATTCGACTGTTGGGCGCGTTCTGCGTCCCCCACGGTTAGCAGCTGGATTACCATCATTGATCGGTGGTCTGCCAGATGAGCTGCGACCGGATGTGGGATGAGCGCTGAACGTTCCACGGCTCCTTCCACGCACAGATGATCGTCCACGGTATGTCCCTCTAGTAGCAGTTAGAGCGAGATTTGGATCTCCTGATGACAGATTGGTGGAGTTGCGACTCAAATCTTCATTTAAGTGCTACTGAACCGTGGAGTAAATTGCAGATGCTAAACGCTGATCAATCAGCAGCCAAGTAGAGTAGAGGGGGTTGGTCTTGCTGTTGCCATTTGAATCGATGATTTGTTTCACCGGCGGTACTATCGTGCCGTTCAGATACCCATCAAAATTGTTTGCAGTGAACAATTTTAACAGTTGAGATTTCCATATCAGATGGTTCTCAGTTGTGAGTTGAATAGTAACCATAGACTTCACATTTGCCATGAAGAACTTTAGTTGCTGTGGGATAACCACTTCACTGGATGCAGAATTTGAACCAAACTCCTCAACCAGCGTTGTGGAAGAAGACGCTGCCATGGAAGCGAACAAGGGAGATATCGCCTAGAGCTCTGATACCATGATAAACAGCTTCACCTGCATTGAACGTTTGCACTAGAATATGAAAGAAAGCACAAAAACAGAGTATAGCTTGGAAGTGCTCACAAGCTCTGTCTTCATTTCATCGTCGTCTCCACAGCTACAGTGCTGCACATATATAACTCAGTTAGTTACAAGCCAATGGCTATGATTCTCACACAGAGATCAAGCGGCTGATCTAATAAAGGTACACTGCCATAGCAGTGTTAGTGGTTTAGGCACTATATAGGGAAGCCGACTTATCTATAAGCATTTCAGCTTATCAAGTCTCCTTATCAAATTTTATCTTGTGCGAACGCCGAGTGCCACTACATCACGAAAAGTAAATTAATTGTTCTTTTACTCTTCTCTACTGTATATTATATTAACTATAAATTAATGCAAGACAGTGAGGGTGGGTAGATTTATCTAAAATGAATATGAAGAATAAGTGAGAGAGTAAATGTAATGAGGGCGGGGGTTGTTCATAAAGTCTTGCAGAAGGTTGAATTAACGCATCATGTTACTTTCAACAGGAATAAATGAAGAAGGAAGATCTTTAAAACCAATCGCAAATAGTTAGTTGCAAGTATAAGGATGATGCTGATCTACATTTTTTATTGCAACTTTAAGATTCGTTCGCCTTAGAGCTATGCAACCCCTTGTCAAGCATTACATTTTCCGAACTAATTAATAATGCAGCGGAAAGTTTGGATTTTAATATGTGATTTCATGGTTTGAAGTTTTAGAGATACGCGAAACTTGGAATTGCTTAGCCAGGAGAATAAAAAAAAGTTTAGGAATTCTCAATTCTGTAATGCATGCTAAATAGTTGTTTATCCTTGCTAGAATGAATGAATTTTTAATGACGATTATAATCAGAATTATTACACATAATTTTCTTGTTTTGAACTTTTCATTAAAAATTTTTTGGGCATGAACTTAAATGTTTATGTTTTGCTCCTGCCTTTGCATTCCTTTGATATTCTTCTTAGCTTTATTGATATTCTTGTATTGGGACTTGTGCATTGTCACTCATAAGGCATGCAAATTCTATGTTTGTGTGCTTTTTGTATGGCGGATGCAGTTAGATCAATGATGTCATATTGCTGTGCATATTACTCTTTCTTTTTTCAATTTATGCTTTTGGTTTATCTGATATCTTCAATGCTAAAGATTAAGATTGAGCCCTATTTACTTGTTGTGCAAGATCTATATGCAATGCGCTTCATTTTATTCAGTTTGGAAGTTAAAGAACTGCAAAGGATATTGAACTTCTAATATTACTATAGTAGAAAATGCTCTGCTGCTTATACATCCATACTGTATCTCACTGCGTCTACTTTAAAAATGAAGTCTTTCCTGGCTTGATTAAATTATGAAGTCTCAAATTTATTTGTTGAAAGCAGTGATCTATTTTATGACTTAGACTAGTTTTGTTTTTTTTTTCTTTTTTGTTGTATGAAATTAAATTGATTTTAAGTCCTAACTTTGGGTCTAAATTTTTTTAATATATTTTTGTAGGTGGGATTAGATTCCAGGACCTTGGAATAACTTTCAAAGGTCATCACCAGCTTAATTAGCTTGTGTCCCCAACTCATTTAATTTAATTATTGTTTAGTTTTTGGATAAATGCAATCATGATACTCTATGCTCTTTGTTGTCTATTTGTCTTGAGTTATTCTGTGCATTGTTTAGCATAAACATACTTTAAGTGTTCGTTTGGGGTAGTTGTAGCTTTTTTGCAAAGGTGGTTGCAAAGCTATTGCGGGTAAAATGACTTTCTTAAAAGCTACTATAGGCATTATAAATATTTTATATTTTTGAAAAAAATTAGACATCAACATTCTTAGAGCTACCATACCATATTTTATCTAATTTAATTGTGAAAATGGTAATGGTTACTAACTTCTCAAATTTGTCAATGCATCTATAATGATTCTCGGGATGTTGCAACATAATCTCAGTGAATGATATGTTTGTTATTGGAAAGAATTTATTAGTATGTGATTTGTGTCTATGCATGTATATGTTTTGTCTATCATAATTATTCTTTCTATAATGGCAACCAGAGAAAAGCCTTGACAATTTGCGGTGTCATTCATTGACAGTTTCATGATCTTGCTGAATTGTTTCCTATTGGTGGAAAGGTATTCTTTTTCCAACAACGAGATTTTAAGAATATTTTATGCATGCTATAAATTGAAACTTGATTCTGTTTTAGGATGTAATGTGTGACAATTTGTCATTTGTAAATTCTTAAAGCTAGGGATATCTGTCATTATTACTAATGAAAATCCTATCTGATTATAGTGTCCAGATACAAATCACTTATTCATAGGAGATTATGTTGATCATTGCTCTGTTGAAACCGTCACAGTAAGAAGTTTCACATCTGTACTGTTTTCCTTAACTAAATATTTTCTAATTATTTGTAATTTGTATTATATTAAAAATTGTTTGACTATCACACTCCCACATTGAAAGCAACTAAAAAGGGGAAAAAAATACAATAGTCTTTTTTTCATTTCCTAGCTATTTAGTCTTGGCTGGCTGACTTATATGACTATTCTTCTGTTTTGTTTTTGAGGTCGTACTAGTATATTGTGGACCCTTACTATTTTCATGACTTATGTTCTTTATTTAACAACTCCTTGTTGCCCTCAAAGTTCGATACTCTCAGAGAATCAACATCCTTGGGGAAACCACGAAAGTCAGCATGTCTACTGATATAGCCATTAATGGAGTTTCCCATTTTTTGTCATGAATATGGTAAGAGAAAGCCATTTCATTATATGAACTTATAATCCGTTTGATGATGTTTTGTCTCTTCATGCTATTGATGATGAAATATTCCCCTCATTGTGATGAAATTGCTGATCACACAAGTTTATGGATTTTATGATGAATGATTAAGAAAGTGAGTTTCAATCATCTCAAAATCTTTATGTTTTTTTTACAAATATATATTGATGTCAAACATTTTTTTGTTTGGAAGCATGCCTTTTGATCCTTTGATTACTAAGGCTTCGTTTAGGATGGCTCTTTTATTGTTTCTTAAAGCAACTTTTTAGCACAAAAATTAAAATTTTTGTGCTAAAAAGTTGCTTTAAGAAGCAGCAAAAAAGGCCATCGTAAATGAAGCATAAGTCTTCAGATCAATAAAGTGCTTTTGAAAAATGAAGAACTATGAAGTTCACATGTACTAGAATTGTGGAATTTTTTCTTTGTAATTAAAGCTGCGTAGATGGTCATAGCGCACATTTTGTTGTAGTTCTCTTACAGCCACATATTGCTATTCCTCATTTTAAATTAATAAATTATACTTGGTTAATGCTCTTCCTTGTACTTCATATAGTTAGTACTAAGGCTCGAAGAGTTGCTGGAAGGTTCAATTTACCTATCATTGGTGTTCATTACACGGAAGCTCATGCTCGTGTTGCTAGGTTTGAAAAATTCTACTCAAAATTTTGTCCTTTATTACTTCAACCTGCTGTGTTCTTTGATTGCTATTCTAGAAACTTGAACTATAGCAACAACAGGAGGCCATAACCATTCTACATTAACTAGTTTTGCTAACAGCTACGGCCATCCCAAGTTGACTCTTAAAACATCAAACGACCAAACATCCATTACTACATACTCAAAAAATTGTGAATTAATTATGGGCTTCAATACCTCACTTTCAAAGAGTTAAATCTCATGCATTTGTTGCCAGAGCACCTGTCCATCCTTGGAAAAATTATTAGGTGCGGAGTGCAGACGGGGTGAGAACCGTCTGCACAGACACAGGGTACCGAGCGGTACCCAGTGGTACCGAGCGGTACCGAACGGTACCGAGCGCGGTTTTATACTAGTGTGCGGATGGTTCTCCCGTCCGCACTCCGCACCTAATAATTTCTCCCATCCTTGATGACCAGTCAAACATTCACTTTGATTGTGTTCCTCTAGAATTTGTGACAGACGTCCTGAAACAAATCAAGCTTTCTATATCAAACAGATCCGCCTCTTGAAATATTGATGAAACATTGAGATGATCGACAGAGAAAGACCTTAAGGATCTTATCACACCGCAAGTGTGGTATACGGTAATGATGGCCCCTAGGATATGCTGACTGGCGCGATCTAAAGGCGCGACATACAGATTGCTATCACACATGAGTTCGAAAGTCATGATGATATTACTGAAGAATATTTTATCAGCATTTTTGTGCAGTTAGCAGTAATCGTTCGAAGAATATGTTTATCAGCACTTTGTCAACTGATCAACTCAGGAAAGTACTACTGCCACAATGAGGTAATTTGAATATATTCTATTATACCATTATTAAGAGTATTATCTGTTTTATTACATTATTGAGAGACAACAATGTTAGAGATGCAGGTGCACCTGATGGAGTTCTCAACTACTATTCAAAGAGATGAATGATGTCCGCCAAAAAATTGTTTTAATCATTATTTTGAATATCGGATCGAATCGGTCAATTCAACCGGTTTAATTGTGAATTAGTTATATGGTTGGTTTGGTCCTTATGAAAAATCGGTCCAGCATCAAATTGGTAAGAACCGTTTGTTCAACTGAACAACTGTTGAACCGGTCCTAGTTCTTAAAAACCGATCGGTTCAATTCATAATAATATATGCGACCTATTATAAGGTAATATCATTAGGTAATTATTTATATAACTATTTTATTATTTAAATATCATTTAAATATTTTTAATATTTATTACATCATTAAGTTTGACCCCGATTGATTCATTGAACTTTGAACTTTTTTTTTATTCTATCTCTCATTTAGTTTTTACAACCTTGATTTTAAGTCACTTTGATAAAAGTTTTTTTATTATAATGTATTTTATCTTTTTTTTGGCCTTTTATTGTAATTAATATTATTTCTTTATTGTAATATATTGATCATTTTTTTTAAACTAAGCTTATATTACAATAATAAGGGACGTTTACAATCAATGGAAGGAAGGAGTGAAAACCCAATACAGTGAGAGACAACAATTGAAACGGTCAAAAGGCAAAACAAGGCAGGTAAGGCCAACGGGCTCAGTAATCAACAAAGACTTTCAACCACTCCGAAGCCAAGAAAGGGCCGTCTATAGGAGGGAAAGAGCAAAACATCATCACCATTCCAAATCGCCGTCAGCAAAGGAAGCTCCAAAAAAACACCACCAAAGGTTACCAACAAACTACAGATCCGGAGTGGTGAGCCACAGCCACATCATTACCTAGAAAAAAACATATATAATCGAGGTAGCATCAGATAATAAGCCAACAAGGGATACGGCAAAACAAAAACAGCAGACAAGCTATTTCATGGCTTTCCGCTTTCTACGTTTACCAACCCCATTTCCAACTCGCACATCCTGCTGATCTAAACATTCAATTTCATCAACCTCCGAGGAGGAAGCAGACGAACATTCAAGCCAATCAATTTGCAGCCTAATACTCTCCCCTGAGCTGCCATCCAAATGTGAAACCAAAGCCTCATGAGATATTAAATTAACAGGAACCTCCACAAGACGGTCATATAAATGAATAATAGGCGTCACCGGGGTAAGAACTGAAGGAATTTCAGCTCGAGCAGAAACCTCATCGGGAGGGTGAACAGACACAGCCAAAGCATTAGAATTTGGGTGAGAGATAGAGTGAGCCGAGCTAGAAGACTCCTGGGCAACAACTTGATTCAACCAACATGCAACAAAATCCGCTCCCTTTGAATAAGACTCGTCTAAAGGGGTAGAAGCAAACGTAGGAGAACAAATGAGACGAAAACCACCCTCACTTAAAGCCTTAGGAGCACCCAAACAAACTAAGTTAGAACCCTCATTACCGATCAAAGGGGCAACCACCTCGGGAGACAGAACAACCGGCTCAACAGGCAACAAAGCATCGCAAACAGAAGGAACATTGTCAGTCAAATTAACCTCAGGAATCGACAAAGTATCCATAGAAATAGCCAAATTATGATCATGTAACACCTTCAAGTTAAGCACCGTGACAGAAAAATCGTCGTTTAACTTAAGTTAGAAAAAAAATTTGCGAATAGAGTCTAGCGTCGGACGACGATCAGAAAATTTTCCAATCAACACAAACTCAAACGGTGCAGCCAAAGACAAAATCTCGACATCAGAAATCCAGAGAGAAGATAGACCATTACAAGAGGTGATTTTGAGGTCAGGAAATTTCGGCGGGGAAGAAAACCCCGACAGAACTTCCCGGAAAGAACGAGATTTCAACTTTCCATCCAAAAATCCAGAATCAATGAGCCGATTAACGGCCATATCCACCCTACCAAAGAACGAGAAAGAGAAAAAACAAGAGAATCGAGGGAGGCTACGAAGATATTACCCATATGGCGGCGGAACGCGGGGGAGAACAAAAAACCTTAAAGTTCTCCTCATAACACATTTCGTTAATATTATGCACCCTTGTAATATATTGATCATGTAAATATGAAGATTGGCTATTTTAGACAATGGAAAATAGAAAGACTAATTTTAGATTTATGATTTTTTTTTATTTGAGGTAAAACAGCTTATGTAAGTGTTCATATGTGTAATATTTAGATAGTTGATTAGAGATTAATTATTAGCAATTGAAATATTGTAAGACATCATAATTAATTGATAATTGAATATGATGTATGTTGGATAAAACTATGTTGAGGCACCTTATAATGTGATGAACCGGTTGGGGGCCGGTTCAACCAAACCGGCCACCCATCTCTTATTAGGAGCCGCGACCTAGAGCGGGTCGCTATTCGTGAACAGAGAAGAGAAACCGAAGGGGGCGGACGACCGAACTCATGCAAGGTAACCTTGGGGGTTTTTCTTCGCCAATTTTAGCAAACGAGCGCGTTGGAGGGTAAGATTTAACAACTCCTTTTCGTTCTTATTGTTATAAAAGCAAATGTTTGGGAGAATTTGCAACGAAGGGAAGAAATGAACGAGGAAATAAAAGGAAAAAGGTTTGTTTGATTTCCTTATAGATTTTTGTATAAATTGGTTTCGTTTTCTTCCAATTTTAGCAAACGAATGCGTTGGAGGGTAAAATTTAACAACTCCTTTTCGTTCTTATTGTTATAGAAGCAAAGGTTTGGAGAGAATTTGCAACGAAGGGAAGAAACGACCGAGGAAAAATAAGGAAAAAGGTTTGTTGAATTTCTTTCGGATTTTCCTATAAATTTCTTCTCCTATTTCGTTTTAAAGTGAGCGATATATTTCTTGAAGGATAGGGAAGAGATTATGGCGAAGAAAAAAAAAAGAATTTGGGAGAGAAGGATTTAAGGATTTTTAGAACATTCCTATTTCTTCATTTTGTAAGTGACTCTCCTAGTAAACAATTTAATTCAACTTTGTTATGAAAGCATGTTTTATAGAAGTTATATTTTATAGATGTTGTAGGAACTCGAAGTTGAGGTTGCTCCAAGGATTGAGAATTTTGAAGGGTTAAAGTGGGTATTTGTAACAGTTTAAATTTCTTTATTTCAATTCCATTTTCCTTTAGAAAGAAGTACATGTGAAATTATTTAAATTTATGATTTCTCCTACTTTTGGAAATGATTAACTAAAATAAGCAACAACATGTATGAGTACAATTATGGAAAAAGAAAAAGGATGTGTAATGTGCATATCAAAGAAATAGAAAGTAAAGTTTAGAAATAAAACATACCCATGTATATGATTTGTATATGCAAATGATGAGTAATGTTTATAGAGATACATGTAAGATATATTGTATGCAATGGTAATAATAATGATGAAAATGAGAAAAGAAAGGAAAAGATAATAAAGGAAAATGTATTGAAAACGACAGGAGTTCACCGCCTTATGGTACTGGCTGGGGACGCTATACTCGTGCACGAAAAAGGAAA